AGGAAATGTAAACTCAAACACAATGACATGAAAACTGGACTTTCAAAATAAAACAGGAAACATAAGACGCAGACATGACAACCTGAACTGACAACGTAAGACACAGACATGAAACGAAGGGCGAGGGAGACTTAACAGGGGTGGAAGACACAAGGGGAATCTAATGACAAAGAACTAGCACAACCTAGGAATGATAAAAAATGAACTTAGAAAACCTGAAGGGCTTAAACATAAACTAAAACTCAAAACGCTGGGTCAAAAGACCCAGGATCGTGACAATTCAAACTTGTCCTGTGTACTCTAATGTAGATCCCCAAGTTTCCTACACAAACATCATATAAATTTAATGAAGAGTTGGAACAAATTAAACTGAGTGAGAAGTTGGACACCTTGGAATTGTAAGCACAAGGAAAGGCCAGATAATTTTCAGCTAACTCAGCCTATTAGCTAATTAGGAAGTCAGTGTAATCCTTAACCCTGCGATAGACTCGCACACACACTGCTACACACTGTTCCTGCTACTAAGTGACCCTGAATGGAATAAGCAATTAAGAAAATGGATGGATCGAATTTAATCTCTATAGTTTTAAGATTTAATTTCCTATAAAAATCACTCCAGACACAGACTGGGTATCTTGATTTTAAATATTTGAAGGCCGCGTAGGCACGCACACACACACACACACACACACACACATATACACAGTTTATATGCAATACCTGTTCTTTAAAGATTTTTTTTTTGCTTTTACATCCACTCACTGGTTATTTTTAGGCACTTTTAATATTAGAAAGTATTGTGGTTTGGGTTAAAATGTCCTTTTGTCACAACAGTAACCCTACACACTGAAAAATGATGACTTGGAAGTGGCATAGTCATCTTAGTTCTTTTATAAACTGGTGTGTTTTTTTCAGCGCCCCCAAAACACTTGTGGGCATGGGCATGTAACTAAATTACGTTTGGTAAGTTCTCATTTTCCACTAATAATCCAAACTGGATTATTTTAATGATGACTCATTTCCTCGTTGTTATTTTTAACTGAGACAATTATAACCAATTAAGCTTTAATCAAAACATGATCTTGAAATTAATCAAATCCCCTTTGTGCCAAAAACGATCAAAACATTAATGGCAGTTTATTTTTAAAAAGGAAAAAGCTATAAAGCTTTTAAAGGCGCAGATATCTTCTGCCAATGCATTGCCGGTAAAACAAAACATCTTAATGCATTCTTCTAGATGCGTCATTATTTGTAGTAGTCACAGTAACCATGTTTGTCTGTTTTTCTCTGCCTCTTCAGCAGTGGAGTGTTTTACCTTTCTTGTACACTTTGGTGATTTCTTTAATCTGCTCGCCAGTTCTGGAGGCCAGGATCTCAATTAGCACTTCATCTTCAGTCCCGGCACCCTGGGAACCCGACGCATGAGATAAATGGAGTGAAACAATATCCATATCTGTTCAATATTAAATTTTAGTACATGTTTTTTATATATTAGGCTATATCATTGATTAGTAATATGAAAAAAAGAAACCCTAAAAGTCTATAAAGAAAAATATAGAAATAATAAAAGATAATAAGAGATGTACAACTTGAGAGCATAGCAGAGTTAAAAGGTTTGCAATTAGAGAACGAATAGGTTCAGTACTAAAGAGAATTATCTTTGACGTTCACTTCTCTATGCTGCAATTAACCTTACAGCAAGACTGTCCGCCAAACCTAACTAATGAAGGAGTGGGTGTGATAGGAATGTTGAGGCCAAGTCCTAAATGCTTTGCTCTCACTTTGACTAAACACTTCATTTGCACATGGGTAATGCAAATGTAAATGTGTCTGAAGAATAATGAGACAGAAAAAAAATTCATTTGTAACTCATATGAGGATCTGAGAGTTTGCTAAATGTTTTTCCCTCATGCAATTCCCTTCTAACTTTATGAGCTGCCTGTGACCTGAAAAAGAGCACTCATAAAATGTCTGAAATGTCTATAATATAATATGTCCAGTTTGATCTGACATCTTTTTTCATTTGAGTTTCACTGAAGGTACAAAAGATAGATCTAATGAACTACAATGCTCCAATGCTGCAAAACAAAATGTTTGCAGGAGATATAGAGAGAAAGCTTAACCAATTTAAAGATATCTGTATATGATTTTTTGGAATATATTGGCAAAAGAAAAAAGAGTTCTGGTATTTGAGACTTTCTAGATTCTAGTTTTAGTCTGTTTGTATTTAAAATTGTATTGACAATTTAACAAACTGTCAAATCTGCAATCTCAAAATATTGAGCTACAGTCTGCCAATGAGTTAACTATGAATTAACTTTAAATACAATTATCTGCATTCATCCAGTGCACGGAACAGAAAGTCTTGGCTATTGATTATCAGTCATTCATTGTCCGGATGTCACCAAAACCCCCTGAATCATTTGGCATTACCCCCTGCAGCTAAGTCATCAGATGACAGTTTCAATTTTACTGTAACGATGAAAACAAAAAGGCTAAAACCACCATGTAGTACCTGTGACAAAACACAATAAGTCTTTTGTGCCTGTATTTAATTGTTTTGTCCTTGCCTTTGTTCTCAGTTTTAAACACGTCTTAGTCATGGCTAAATTGTCTGAAGTCTAAAGCAAGCTGCTGAATACAAACAAAGTAATCTGAAAGAAAAGAGCTCTGCAACAAGCTGACAAACTCAAAGTCAGCAGTACGATCACCTTGCAGTCATCACAGCTGTTACTGCTATCAAACTGTGGTGAAATTCCAGCAAACTTTTGACAAACAGGTCCAATATTATTCTTGTCATCCACCAACTCTGGATAAATGTTATAATTCTAACAAATTTAATTCAATTTAATTTGAACTCTTAGATAAATATAATGTCTCCACTAGCTATTTGTTGCTGGACAGCCTAGAGTTTAACATTTTTCTACTTCAGCTATTATTACATTAATACATAATTGTAGTTTCTTAATTTAGGAAGATTAAGGAAGTCTGTTTCTAGCATTAGAAACAACAAATATGTATGAATTAATAAGAAATAAATAATACTATAGTGGTTGCATGCATTATTATGGTATTCTTTTGAATATTTGCTTGTTCAAAATATTAAAGACTTACAAAGACGGCATTTTCATTATATTTCTGTTTGATTCAGATATATGAATTAGCAGACCTACAAAAACTGAATAATCAGATAATAAGAAGTATGAGTAATGAGTTTTTAATGGCTGATGATCACTTTGGCTGTCAGTACAAGTGCACTCCCACTAATTTTAGATGCACCCTAAACCATTGTGTTCTGGAAACGAGCCCTGGCTATTGGCTGAAAACAGCTGCTTCCTGCTGTTGGAGTCGAGCTTGATGATAGCATTGTAACATATCAGTAAATGTGATGCAACACCAAAAATATTGATCTAAAAAAGAATGGGCATCAGAGATTGGTCTAAAGGGTCTTTGTGGAGTTGTCAAGCAGCTTCTATCGCATGCTGTTAACATAAAATAAAAGGTTTTGAACGTCATGTGGGAAAATAGATAATAATAAATGTTAGATGGCCTACCTGTTGGCCTAAAGATTTATAACAAAGCTGAGTTGAGTTAAGAGACTAGTAGCAACAGTGGCAGGAACTATTTTTTTTATTATGTAGAAAGAGTTCCTGCCGCTGTTGCTTTTAGTTAAAAAGACAAACTGGAAAAAGGTCCAACATTTTACCTTTTCAACCAAACTTTTCAGAACACTTTTTCAGTAATGTTTGAGTTTCATTTATGTGGGCTAAAGAGAGGGAGGGAGCTGGTAGTGTGCATGATATCTTACTAGCAATTATGTTTGCAACTCTTTTTTCATGTATTAGATGCTTTATTGCTAATGTTGAAACTCAACTCAATTAAAAAAATTAAACCTTTTCATCTCTTGTAGTTGAAATCTGTAAAGTGGCTTCAATATGAATATAGTGCATTGACTGAATAAAAGATGGACATAATCATAATGACATCACCTATTGGTTTGAGAAGTCACTGCATTGCTGAACAGTATTATTATCTTTCTATGTACAAAGTGAATAATGAATAACAGCAAAACACACACATACACCAAAAATTGAAATGTCAGTGGTCCCTAATTTACTCATTTGTTTGTCTGGCTTTGAGAAGTTGAAATGTCTGTTGTCAACTATGAAGTGTTTCCTAATCAAACATTATTCAAAAAACATCACAATAAAAACGTAGGCTACATTTACATTTACATGAGACCTGTAACGTGGTTTAAGTTGTTACCTTGAGAGCGTTATGCAGGAGAGTAGCATCATATAAGACAGATGGGGTCATCAGAGCCACAATAAGACTCTCAAACAGTCCACCGAGCTCAGATTTCAGTGCGCTGACCAAGTCCTGTGGTCAAATAATTAATAATAATGAGAGGAGCTAAAACAGTAATAAC